CAAGGTTCAGTTACCACCCTCTTCCTTGTGGCCATGAACGGAGTTTTCGGAGGACTGCCGAAAAATGTTTACATTTTCGTGTATGCTGACGATGTACCTATCGTAACTACCGGCCCAACAGCAGCACGTAACAGGATCAAGGCCCAGGCAGCAGTCTCCGCTGTAGGTTTTCAGCTTTCGGCCACCAAAAGCGTCAGGTGCCACGTGTGTCCATCCCGGCACCGTGTCAGCGGGCCACCTATCAAAGTTCAAAGCCAGCCCATACCACTGAAGAAGACGGTCCGTATTCTGGGGGTACTTGTTGACCGGTCCCTCAACTTTGAGCAGCACTTTAAGGCGATCAAGAACGACTGCTGCAGTAGGATCAACTTGATCCGCACCATCTCTCGCCCCCACCGGTCTAACAATCGCGACACTCGTTTCCGGGTTGCAAGAGCCGTCATCGATAGTCGCCTACTGTACGGTCTTGAGATGACGTGCATCGCCACCGAAAGGTCGTGCAGACAGCACCAACTTTCAACACGGATAAAGAGCAGGTTCAAGGCTGGAGATAACTCTGCTGCGCTGAAGAGAACAGTAGCCGAACTGCTAGGTTTTCTCCGCCGAAGCTGGGGTCATCTTTGTTGCCGTTACAGCACCCTCGGACCGGCCCATACTGGTGCTATCCGATTCGTACAGCGTGATACAAGCCCTTACATCTGAGACCCTGACTCACCCCTGCATACAGGGTATTGTGGAGGCCATACTTCCGAACACGGTGTTTTCCTTGATCCCTGGGCACTGCAGTATCCCAGGAAACAGCGAAGCCGACAGCCTGGCAGGGCTAGCCATTACACTGACGAAGTGCCACTACAGGACACAAAGCGATGGATAGTCAGCAAAATGTGGGAAGCCTGGAAAGCAGAGTGGTGCCAATCCCAATCCCTCTTCATCCGAAGAATCAAAGGAACGACGAGCAAGTGGACGGATATGTCGAAACTACGGGACCATAAGATGGTTTCTCGTCTTAGGACAGGCCATACAAGGATCTCACATAGTTTTGGTGGGACGCAGTTCGTTTGCGGAACCACTGCATCGGTGGAACACATCCCATGCCTGTGTCCGCAATACCAACAACTACGGGAGCAGTACGCACTTCCCAACAGCATTAGGGACATACTGGGCGATGAACCTTCCACTTTAGCGACAGTTATTTATTTCCTTAAGGACGCTGCGCCTCATTATGCTCCAACTCGACCTGACTCGACCATCTCCGATTTGCATGAAACTTTGCATGATTATTTGTTATGGGCAATCATTCAAAGTTACTGTTCTTGGCGATTTTAACCTACCGGATATTGCATGGACTCCAACCCATAGTGGTTTATTTTTTCCTGATCACGAGCGTTCATTTTTCCACGGTGGAACCATCCAGCTCCTGGACAGTTATAGTACCGCAATTCTATCACAAATTAATAGCCTGTTGAATGAAAACAACCGCACCCTGGATCTCTGCTTTGTGAGTGCTCGTGATACAGCTCCTTTCCTCTCCACGGCAACCGAACCTTTAGTCAAGGAAGTGCATCATCGCCCTGTTTTAGTTATCGTGATCGAAAATAATATTGTCCATGATTTCATCAGCACTCCAAACGCTGTGTCATATGACTTCCGTAGAGCTGACCATCCTGTAGACGGTCACATTGCTGCACAAAGCTTTTCTCACGTCTTGGCATATGTCATTGACAGGCACGTTTCCAAAAAGATCATCCATATCGACCCTCGTGTCCCGTGGATGACGAAAGGTCTTCGCTCGTTGAAAAGAACTAAGAAGGCTGCTAAATTCCGAACACTGCCGCTGAAATGCTACTATGTCAGACTCAACCACGAGGATTCAACGACGGCTAAAATCACACCCGAAACCCTTCTGGAACTTCGTAAATGAGCAACGCAGGGAAGTCGGCTTACCCTCTTCCATGATTTTTAATGGTGCAACTGCTGGCAATCAACAATACATTTGCAACCTGTTCTCAGCCAAATTTGCTAGTGTGTTTGAAGACGAGCAACTCTCCGCTAATCTCGTTACTTCCGCGACCAGTAATGTTCCTTTTTGATCAAGCAAACGCTTAGCGTTGTCGACGCCATTGCAAGCAATATCTAAGTATAGATCAACACGGATTCATAACTGGGCGTTCCACAACTACGAATCTGATGTGCCTAACGTCTTGCATCACAGACAGTTTGATTGCTCGGACCCAAACGGACGTTATTTAGGTTGAGATAACGAACAATCACAGCAACCAGCTGAAACCTAAACCTATCAAAGTAGCCTGTAAAGAACGATTAATAAAAATTTATTCATTCCACTGTTACCACCCCTACGCGATCAGTTGTTTCTTTTTTACGCTCTGCTAACAGGTTATGGGTCCTTAGGAACGCATAAGTTTTTTCCTGGAGAAGTTTCTAGAAGTTCAAGACCGAAGCCAAACCTGCGATAGGATGAATCTGAAGAATTCTACGAAGCTTAACAACGCAAATTATGAAGCATGGAAGCGCTGCTGATCCGGGGAGGTTTGTGGACCTACATCAAGAACAACCCACCGGCAGTTGGAGAAGGTCAAGCGGCGGTGGCGATGAAAAGGCCCGTGCAACGATTCTGCTACTACTGGAGGAAAATCAGTTTTGCGTGATTCGAGCGGACGGAAGCATGGGCGGCGTTGGCCATGCATCATCGAAAGGCAACTTTGTCCACTAGGGTTTCGTTACTATAACGGATGTGCGAAGACCTGTACACGAAGGTGTGCAGCGCAGGAAAGGACCTGGGAGAGGATACCATGGTGGCCTTTATCTTGCGAGGATTGCCGAAATCATTCAACGCATTAACGACTGCCCTCTAAACACGTACAGATGATGCCTTGACGCTGAACCTGATCCGGGAGAAGCTACTGGACGAGGTAAGCAAGCAAAATCGAAACGCAACCGGAGGGACGGCATTGAAAGCAGCGGGACGAAAGCCGATTGTGTGTCATTTCTGCAAGAAGCCTGGCCACAAACAACGGGACTACAAGCAGCTACAGAGAGAGCAAGCTCGAGAGTAATTCGGATCGAAAAAACAGAATGCGAAGACCGCGCGGAATGGTGGCTACAGCAACATGTACCATCGGAACTGGCGACACGGTGAACGACTGGATCATCGATTCCGGCGCATGTTCGCACATGCCTTCCAACAGGGATTTCTTCGAGGAGTTAGAACCGGCTACAGGCGAAGTGGAGTTGGCTGACGGGCGTGTAGTAGCGGTCGCTGGTACTGGAACTGGTGTGATCAAATGTCTGGACGGTTCTGGAAGCACGAAAAAAAAAATTCGTCTCAACCACGTTTTGTTTGTGCCAAAGCTGTCAGCAAGTCTTTTGTCAGTGCTTACTATGACCACTCGAAAGGCGAAGGTTGAATTCGATGACGTGAAGTGGAAAATATCGTCGATGGGAAGGAAATTGCATCTGCGACGAAGTGCAGAGGATTATACCGGTTGAATAAGCAAGAACAACCAATCGCCGCGAAGGTAACTGCATCTCACAAGCGAGATTGCCAGCATGCCTGGCACCGACCGGTATGAAAGTTGCAGATTGCAAATGCTGTGTGAAAGGAAAGCAGGTTCGAACTCCCTTCCACAATACCTCCGAACCATTAGATCTCATCCACTCGGACGTTTATGGACCACTGGAGACACCCTCGGTGAGTGGATATCGTTATTTTGTATCTTTAGTAGATGAGTATAGTCGCTGTATTACGGTTTTCTTTATCAAGCAGAAATCCTAGGTCGCAGAACGCATAGTGGAATACTGTAATTATGTCCACACGCAGTTCGGGAAGTACCCCAAGCGCATCAGGTTTGATCGGGGAGGGGAGTATTCGAGCGAAATACTGCTGGAGTTCTACCGCAAGCATGGAATCCACCCCGAGTTTACTGCCGGATATTCGCCACAGCAGAACGGTATGGCGGAGAGACGAAATCGATACATCATTGAAATGTGTGTCGGTGCATGCTAATGGACGCCAGGATGTCTGCACGATTTTGGGCTGAAGCAACCACTACGGCCGTGTACCTACAGAACCACCTACCTTCTCGTGCTGTGGAGATCACAACCATACGAGCTTTGGTGGGGACGTAAACCGAACATTTCACGTCTGAAAGTGTTTGGGTGCAGAGCATTTGCCTGTGTGCCGAAGGATAAGCGAAGCAAACTCCAGGATAAGTCGAAGGAAATGACGTTCGTCGACTATTCCAGTAACCACAAGGCCTACAAATGCATTGATATGGCCACTAACAAGCTGATCATCAGTCGAGACGTTCGTTTCTTTGAGGAGGAGTTGGTCCAACCCGGTACCGATGTTCCTAATCTGGAGAAGGAGACGTACGAGGAAATTCTACAGCCGTTACCTAATACGGCTGAAGCAAATCAAGAAGTTCCGGATCCAAACGATCCAGAGATTGACGAAGAAAATGACGATGGAAGGTCGGACGTAACCGACACGGACTTCGATTCTTGCAACCAGTCACTTCATGAAGATTTGGATGAAACCATCGTACGAAGATCAGAGCGGTCCAACAAAGGTGTCGCCCCACAGCGGTACCATGAAGCAAGCAACATGGCAGCAGCTACTGAACCGAGGACGTATGAAGAAGCAATAAGCGGATAAGAGAGTGCATCGTGGATAGCTGCGATGGAAGAAGAGATCCAGTCTCTTCAAGATAACTCGACATGGACAGTTGCGGCCCTTCCAGATGGACGAAAGGCGGTTGGCTGCCAATGGCTGTACAAGCGGAAATTGGACAAGCATGGAAACGTGACACGCTACAGGGCTAAACTGGTCGCACAAGGTTTTAGTCAGAAGTTCGGCACTTACTACGACCAGGTGTTCGCTCCGGTGGCAAAACAGGTAACATTTCGTTCTTTGCTAATCATTGCCACCCGTCGTCAACTTCTAGTGAAACACGTCGATGTCAAGACGGCCTACCGGCCGTATACATGCGTCAACCGAAAGGATACGAGACTGGGAATCCCGCAGAAGTTTGCCATTTGAAGAAAAGCCACTACGTTCTGAAGCAATCCGGTCGAATTTGGAACCAGACGATTGACGATTCCTTCAAGAAGCTGGGATTTCTACAATCAACTGCTGATGCGTGCCTATGCGTAAGGACCAAGGGTGAGAAGCAAGCGTTCATCCTTCTGTACGTCGACGATATGCTCATCGTATGTGAGACCGAGGCGGAATATGAAGCGATCCTGAAAGCATTATCGAGGAAGTTCAAAGCCACTTCTCTTAGCGATGTGTGGCAGTACCTGGGCATACAGGTGGAGCGGGAAAAATGATGAAAGGTTTCTGCTCAACCAACAGTGCTACATCCAGCGACTGGCTTCGCGATTCGGACTCGAAACGGCAAAGCCATCACTTATCCCGATGGACCCCGACTATCTTCAAGCAAAGAGGAGGAGTCCAGCAAGCTACCAAACAATACTTCGTACTCCAGTTTGGTTGGTGGTTTGCTCTACATAGCGATCAATACGAGGCCCGATGTAGCGATCAGCGTTTCATTACTTGGGCGAAAGGTGAGTGCTCCGAATGCAGCAGATTGGACTGGAGCAAAGCGCATTATGCGGTATCTCCTGGTGACAAAGCATTTTCGATTGCATTTGGGCGGCAAAAATGTTGACCTGAAGGCTTACGCAAATGCAGATTGGGCAGGCGATCATCGGGACCGTAAATCCAATAGCGGTTTTCTGATTATGTTCGGTGTAGGTGCGATCAGTTAGGCGGCAAGGAAGCAAACCTGCGTTGCCCTATCTTCAACGGAGGCTGAGTTTATTGCTGCTGCAGAGGCATGTCAAGAACTTCTCCGGATTCGAAAGCTGATGAAGGATTTCCACGTGCCGGAAACTTAAATCCTGCTACTCGAGGACAACCAGAGTGCCATCCGACAGTTCCAGTTCACCATGGATCTTGTTCAACAAGGCATGCTGTCCGTGATCTACTGTCCAACGGAGCATATGGTTGCGGACATGCTCACCAAACCATTGAACCAACTCAAGATATCAAAACATCGAACATCGGCTGGTGTGCTACCTGTGCAGTTCTAGGAGGAGTGTTGAGATAACGAACAATCACAGCAACCAGCTGAAACCTAAACCTATCAAAGTAGCCTGTAAAGAACGATTAATAACAATTTGATTCATTCCACTGTTACAATCCTTAGTGATCAGTTGTTTCTTTTTTACGCTCTGCTAACAATTTACACAGATCTTACGGCAGCCTTCGATAAGCTGAACCACGAAATTGGGATCGCTAAGCTTGATAGGCTAGGGATCGGTGGAAATCTTTTGAGATGGTTTCGTTCATACCTTGCCAACTGACAGTAACTGTGGGTACTTGTCGCTCAGTAAGCTTCTGCGCAAAGTCCGGTATACCTCAGGGTAGCCATCTGGGACCATTGGCATTTCTCCTTTACTTCGACGACGTTCACCATGTTGTTCACAGGGCCACACGATTATCGTTTGCAGACGATCTGAAAGTTTTTCTGCGCATCCGCTCACTCGCCGACTGCCGTTCTCTCCAAAATCAGATTGACATCTTTGCTGACTGGTGTAGTCTAAACCGACTGGTGGTCAACCCAGCTAAGTGTACAATCATTACTCTCTCGCGCAAGAAACAACCTCAACTACAAACTACTAGGCACGACTATCGAACGGGTGCATTGCGTGAAAGACTTAGGTATCCAGAACTCTTGGATTTGTCTTCAAGTTTTCTAAGAACTTCACAGACATTTACTGCTTGAAATCGCTCTATTGCTCTCTCGTACGATCTACGTTGGAATACTGCTCTGCAGTCTGGAGCCCGAACGACAATAATGGGGCCGAGCGAATTGAATCTGTGTAACGACGTTTTCTTCGCTTCGCGCTCCGTGAGCTGCCCTGGAGATACCCACTTCGTCTTTCAAGCTACGAGAATCGCTGCCAATTCATCAATGTCGAGCCCTTGCGTATCCGAAGAGGCTTAACCGTCACCGATACTCTGCAAGGAAGAATCGACTGCGAAGCAATACTGCAACAAGTGAACATTAATGTTCAACCTCGATCACTACGCAGCAGTCTTATGCTAAGACTTCCACTTCTTCGAACAAATTATAGCTTAGGGAGCGCTATTTACGGCTTGCAATGTAATAATATGTTTCGACGAAGATTGTCTGCCTTTTTTTGCTGACCGAAGGCGCTTGACGCCCAACAGCTAAGTGTACAATTTTAGACTTATACATTTTTAGTAACTTGACAAAGCTTTCCTTTGTTATTTTCGTTTGTAACTGTAGTATATGTAGTCTGTATAATCTGTTCTTTTTTTTACAACACATCATTGGGACTATTTCTAGTCTGTTGATCCAAACATAAAAAATAAACAAATATTCACATTTTTACAAAAAATCGGCCATGTTCAAAATGGCCGAAGTTAAGCACTAATGTGAATGATTGACCATAACAAACAATTGTGCAAATTGACTATATGTTTAGTATTACTTCTGCGTGAAGTCAACGATTTACATAGTTGAAGATGCTAATTTCAAATAACAGACTAAAGTGGTAATTTTTATACGATAGATGAGGAGATGAAAGTATAGAATTGATAGTTCCGTTTAGAGTACGACAGTGTGAAAATTGCATATAGAGAGTAGAAAGCGAGCAAGCACAACTTTAGGAAGGTACAAATCGGTTTGATCATCTCTCTTTGCCAAACTCCCCCGTTGGAGAGGGATGGTGAGGGGTATTCTCCTCCGCCACCACTGGCAAAAAGGAGATGATCACCGACACGCTCAAGTACCGCCGATGTGTTTGAAACAGTTTTATCGATTTTTACCGTACTTAAGTTGCTATCTGAAGGAAGGCATCCAGTCGTAGGTTTGGAAATTGCAGCTATTGTTACCTCTACCACGGTATGTGCTCCTGTCATCGTCGAATTGACGATCTCGAGGGACACGGGTAGGGTAGGTGCTACTACTGTACCTTTCGACCAATGACAGTAATTGATTGAATTTAATTAGTATTACTTTAGCATCTTCAACTATATAATTATGCAAAGTTTCATGCAAATCGAGTCTTCATTTGGCGTGGAACTGCTCAGTTATCTTTTATTCGGCAAATGATTTTTCTTCTTCAACTGCTGCGCTGATTTCTCGAAGTGCTGATGATTAAAAAAATAATAATAAGAAAGAACGTTTTAAATAAGCTTTGTACAAGTAACAATTTACTATTATAATTCCGGCAAAAACTCTGTTCTGAGGCTAACACTTTCTGTCAAAAATTGCACCCCTCACAAGCTTCTCCTTGTGTTTCAATATATTACACTATTAGGTAGGGAAAATTGAACAAACTATGGCAATTGATTTATACACGCCTATTAGATCCTACTACTTCAACTTGAATATGCTCTCGGTCCTATCGTTTCCGCATCAGAAAGGTACATTCTTAACATTCCACTATTAGTACATTATCATGCTACTCTCCTGTTTTCGAGGGGGGGGGGGCAAGCAAAGCAAAGAACCAAAACCAAATCGCACACACCAAACTCCAAAGTGCTGTTTGTCCCAAAAAAAAACGCAATCAATGCAGTCCGTTTTGATTCTATATGGAAGCTGGATGAACTTAAATCTACTAGGCTTATATAGAGCACAGTTTGTACAAATAAACTTTGAAACAATTCAATTCAGCACTTCCTAAATGCTTGGAAAAAAAATAACCATCTTCAATAGTTAGCTTAAGAGGTATAACGATCGCGCTGCGATAAGTTGTAAACTTTTTCTGTTATCCTAAAAAAAAATATAAACGTGTGTAAATTATATAGTAGCAAAAGTGAAACACTGGATCATTTCGAGAGATGGATCGATAGTAAGAGAGAGAGAGAGAGAGGGGGGGGAAGGAGAAAAATATTAACATACAAATAAAACGTAAAACAATGACAAATATGAAATCACATCACAGAAACCGTTTCTGCACACTTATTCCCACTTTAGCCCGCTTCACTTCCAGTCGATTCGCCACCGGCCCCGACATACTTACGGCGTTTGACTTAAGAATACACAATTACGAGTCCAACAAATTGCAGAGCTACCAATCTAGGATTGGTAATTTAAAGACAGCAAGAGCCCTCCTTAGTACGGTTTTCATTTCTTCCGTGCCTTTAGCGAATTGCTGGCGGAGGAACTTTCCTGCCCACCAGCAGCAGCAGCAGCAGCAGTAACCGGTTGCTTGACTCCGCCGATCTGAGCCTGACCCGCCTTCCGGTTCAGCGAACTGCTGCTGAAAGTATTCCTCGTTAGGCTGGCAGTCGGAGTACTTGCCGCCGAGGTGATACTCTCGCTGCTCGCTCCCTTCGACGACTCGGCGCCGATCTTCGTGGCCACCGGAATAGCGCTTGCCGCGGGGCCACCGCCACCATTCTTCCGCAGCAACTTGCTTCCCTTCTCATCGTTTTTCTCCTTTTCAATTTTTGTACTGCTTCGAGATCGTTTGTTGCGCTTGACCACGCTGTTTATATTACTACTACCCTGTGGAGGACTACCGGCGGTGGAGGTCAGACTCGTCAGTTCCAGATTGATGTCTCCGTTGTTGTTCCGATGATCATCGCCGCTTAGCGGAAGAGACGTGGACAGACCTAAAACGAGGGAAGAAAATGGTCAATCTTCTGAAATTTAAAATCATCGCAAAATCCAAACCTCCATTCCCGTTCAGTTCGTCGGCGACGGTTGCCGCTTTTGCCGCAGTCGCAGCCGCGGCAGAGATCAATTGTGGTGGTGCGGTTCCTCCACCGGCATTCCGCATCCTCCTCGTCATCGGTTTGTTCAGTATTAGCTGAATGTCCGCATCGGTGTCCTTTTTCCCTCCGGTTCCTCCCACAGCCACCGTCGCCGGTGTCCCCCCCGACCCGGCAGTTTCGGCCAAGCTCGACCGTAACCGCGCCGATGCCGGAATCTTCGATCGCCCTCGCTTGTAGGTGATTATGTTCGGTATGTTGATATACTGATAGTGATGGTGATAGCTGTCGAGGCTATTGTTCCGAACCGTCCGGACCGAGGCGCGGGGTTTGACTTCGTCCTTGACGGTCAGTTTGATGACGGCAGCGGAACCGGTGTTGGTGGTGGCGGCGGCAGCGGTTGTTATGGTGGTGGTTGTAGTGGTAGTTACACTGCTTCCGGTCCCCGCCATTGTGTTCTGGTGCTGGTGCTGGTGCGAAGCGATGATCACTTCCGCTGTGGTTTGTATGTTCTTCTTGTTCTTTTGCTGCTGGATCTGCTGCTGGCTGACGGAGACGGACCTGGAAGGAGTGGCATCAGTTAGTGGGGGGTGTTCCCGCGATGGGACATTTCTTAATATTTATAGCAAATAGTGATCAATAGGATTTGGGATACAGGAAAAGGTGCACAGATGGGGGAGATGGTGCAGACAATTGGAATACATGCTTGTTAGGGTGGGTCAACTTTACAACCCTCTGTTTCCCACTGTTCTTTTAATGCGTAATAAGGTCCCCAACAACTGTGCAAAATTTGGTTATGATTTGTTGGAGAATTTCAGATTTGGTATGGGAAATGGAACGATCCTATTCATTTGCTTACCAAAAATCCAAATATTGCTCAAATTGTACCAAATCTCGCACTTAGATTGAGAATACTATACAAAACAACTTTGTCGAAGATTGTAAACTTATTTGATATTTGTACAAAAGGTTACTAATATTTCACCAAGTATTCCACACTTATCTACAAGCCTGAAGGTATGCACGGAGTAATACGTCTAAATTAATATAATAACTTTTTTCTCAGAAGTCTAATAGATTTGCAGTCTTGGACAAAGTTGTTCTGCATAGCATTCCTAATCTTAGTCCAAAGTTTGGTAAAATTTTAGCAATATTTCAATTTTTGACAAATGAATAGATTCGTTTCGTTTTCCACACATTTTCCCATAGAAAATTCAGCTCATATCCAAATTCGTTCAAACTTACCACCGTTGTTGGGGACCTCAGTACACAGGAGTGCCTGGTGCACCAGTCCCTTTAGAAATGCCCAGCACAACCGACAACGCCTAATCACGCCATCTGACGATATACATCCGAGACGCACCGTAGAAAGCCTGATGGAAGCCCCCAATCACCACTGCCGTCCTGGCCCTGAGTTTAGATGTGGGTCGAGGGTCTTCCAACTTGTTATACCAGGCAAGTATAAATTCAACATTGATCATTCGCTGCCTGAAGTCGGTTTGATTTTCAGCGCACAGGAATCTTCTAACGAAGGAAACGCACGTCATGGGAACATGGAATGAACTCCGCATCAGCCGGTTCCATCTGCATCATCTTGGACCCTGGGACGCACGGTGGACAGTATTTTGGAAGCCCCCAGTCTCTCCGACGAAGTCGCGCCTCCCGTTGACATCGCTCATCGGAGTCGGCCAAGGGGGTCTTCCGAATCTCCCAATCAGGCGAGTATAATTCAGGATCTGTCTTGGAACATCCCCTGCCTGATGTCGCTGCCAATTCTAGATCGCAATGCAGCCCCCGCCAGGCTACTTATCGTCACAGTCAGGCCATCTGCATGTATTACCAGAACGCTGGTGGGATGAATTCCAACATCGATGATTATTTATCGCTTAGCGGTTTCGGATCGTTGCTTCGACGTCTGAGGCTTGGCTCGATACTCGCACATTGTCAAATCAAGTGTTTGGTTCCGAATACGAGGTTTTTCGATGCGATCGGAATCCGCACAACAGGCGTTCTCATTGTGGTCGGTTCTGGATTGAAGGCAAAAGTTATCGAAAACGATTCATGGAATTGTGTGGAACAACTCGCGACTCTACGCTAATTGAATCCCACAGTCAGTCTATTCGAGCTATAATGGAGATCGCTACAGCTGCTGACGAGATGATAATCATTGGCGACTTCAATCTACCGGCAATTTCTTGGCGATCATCTTACGGTGGACTCCTGTATCCGGACCACGACCGTTCTACATTTCACTCTGGAGCTGTAAGCTTTTTGGATCATTACAGTATCGCCACTCTGAAGCAAATCAACCTTAGACCTTTGCTTCGTCACCGCTCAGGATACTGCTCCGCATTTGTCTATGGCTGTATCTCCTCTGATAAGGATTGTTCCACACCATCCTCCTTTAGTTATTGCACTTGAAGGCAACCAAATTCCTGAGGTCATTCCACAGGAAATCTAAGCAAGAACAGCAGATCGCTCAGCTGTCGAAACGAATAGCAGTGACAACTCCAACACACTTGAGTTCCGGCGATCTTATGCGTCAACTAAAGCAGTAACGGTTGACAATGTCTTTACCGAGGTCCTTACTGTCCCTGAACCCACCGAGCTGTTTTGGCTGTAAAATACCTTTCTCGTATACATCCTAGCGTGAAATCGGAATCAATCGAGAAGCTGGTCAAAGGTTGTGTACAGTGCGATGATCCGATTAAGGTTGTGCCGCTAGTTAAAAAAGGATCCGACATCAGCCGTATGAGTTACACAGGTGCTTTTACATCGGTTATGGAATTTGAAGACGGTTCAAAAAACATGTGGATGCCTCGTTTGAACACGCCTGCTATCACGATCTCTCCTGTTCCGGGACCTTCCGAGTTCTCAACTCCCATCTCTGGACTAGACCCAGTATGCTGATTCCGAATTGGATGCCGCGTTGTGAATTGGAACGCTGTAAACCAGAACGCACTTTCCCGCCATCAAAGTCGTTCTGGACCTGCGGTCGAGTTCGGTGGTGGGGTCTCACAACCATCGTTTTCAGGCAAGTATGCATACATTAGTTACAGTAATTTTCCTGATCAGCTTCCGTGTTCCAGTGCAACGCCTCAAGCATCTGCCGGCTATTTCCAGTTGAGAAGCACTTCTGATACTGCTTATTCACAACATCCGCTTTACTGTTCGAACAATCCTAATTCATCTCCGGGACGCACAATAGACCGCTCTTTGGAAGCTCCTGGTTCCTCCAGCCAGCGTTCAGCATAGTCGTTCTGGACCTGAATCAGGAGTCTTCCACCTTGCCTCTACAAGCAAGTACAATCAATATATTGACTATTCACTGCCTGATGCCGATCAAATTTTCAGCAATTCTGACTATTTTAGTCATTGTGATGATGCCTCTGTAACTCCCAATCCTGGAAACCCGGAACGCGCCGTAGAAAGCCCCATGGAAGCCCCCAATCCCTCCGTCTCAGTCCTGCCATCGGCAGCCTTCGTTCAACATAGTCGTTCCGGAGCCGCTGTCGGATGTGGAGAGGGAGTCTTCCAACCTACTCACTATGGCGAGTATACAATGAGACTTGATGATGGTCAGTTATTGCTTGATGTATCTGTGATTTCCAGGGAGATCAGTCGTTCGATTCCTTTCCGCAAGCAGGACGTCGTGATCTTCTACCACAACGCCGGTGGAATGAATTCTGATGTTAAAAAGTACCGCCTAGCTGTATCGGATTGTTGCTACGATATAATTGTCCTGTGCGAAACGTGGCTCGATTATCGAACGCTTTCCAGTCAAGTCTTCGGTCCCGACCACGAGGTCTTTCGTTGCGATCGGAATCCTAACAACAGCCGTAAATCTACTGGTGGAGGTGGAAGCTTCATCCCCTCAGGACATTTGCCGTCTGTTCTCAACTAAGTTTGCGAGTGTATTCTTGGATGAGAACCTACCAGACGAGCACGTTTCTCTAGCAGCCAGTACCTAATGTTCCAATGTCTGGTCAATCTTTGGCAGCTATCAACATCGACCTCCCTACGATAACTAGGGCGGCTTCGCAACTTTCTCAAGCAACATATCGATAGCCTGGTGACTCCTCTCTGCCTTCTGTTCGAAATGTCCCTCTCCAGTGGGGTGTTTCCTTCCTGCTGGAAATCAGCTGAGATGTTTCCAGTGCATAAGAAGGGATGCAAAAGAAACATCGACAACTATCGCGGCATCACATCGTTGTGTGCCATATTTAAACTGTTCGTGTTGAGAGGCCCCCACCGGCCCCCGCAACAGTGGCGAGGAGTTTTTCGAGCAGGAAAATTGCGCGTTGGTCCGGTGTTTTCGCGGATTAGAAGACCGGGGATAAAGTTTGGTAGCGATGGTGGAGCCACAGCCGACCAACATTACAGAGGCGTTGGTGCAGATCCTGAACAATCAGCAGGCATTGATGCGGCAAATCTCCCAGCAGTTGGCCACTACTCAGCTCGCCGTGAATAACCTATCCCGCGACGAATCGGTGCTGGACTCCCTCTCTAGCAACATGGCGGAGTTCGTCTACGACAAAGACAATGGGCACACATTTGACGCATGGTTTTCCCGCTACGTCGACCTTTTCGACAAAGATGCCGGCAAGCTGGATGACGCTGCAAAAGCGGTACAACAGCTTCATTCTTCCGAAGCTCGCTCGAGAGTTTACTTTTGCTGCTACGGTGGAAAAATTAAAATCGTTGTTCGGTGCCACAGTGTCAACGTTCCGGCGGCGATACAACTGCTTGCAGACCACCAAGGAGGACAGCGATGATTACGTGGCCTACTCCTGCAAGGTAAACAAAACCTGCGTCGACTTCAAATTATCGGAGTTGACAGAGGAACAGTTTAAGTGCCTCATTTACGTGTGTGGCCTTAAATCCAAGCAAGAGGCGGAGATTCGGATGCGCCTCATCAACAAGCTAAATGAATCGGCGGACCTGACCCTACAGCAGATTGTGGAACAGTGTAACAGCTTGGTCAACCTGAAGCAGGACACAGTGATGGTTGAAAGTTGTTCTTCAACGGTGAAAGCTGTCGCGTACCCCAAGCGAACAACGTCGAAGCGTCAGTCGCCTTCGGATTGCAGCAACAACCGGGAACAACCCAAGACACCCTGCTGGTCATGCGGGGGCATGCACTACAATAAGGATTGCCGGTTCAGAGATCACAGGTGCAACGAATGTGGAAAGTACGGGCACCGTGAGGGCTATTGTGCCTGCTTCTCGTCGAAATCATCGAACAACGCTGTCAATCGCTCGGATAACAAGAAGAAAAGGTGACAGCCGTTGTTGAAGATAGTAACCGTCCGAAGCATCGGTCAGCGGCGGAAATTCGTCGAAATCCAACTCAACAACGTTCCGTTTCGTCTTCAGTTGGACACAGGTTCCGACATCTCAATAATTTCGCACCGATCGTGGGCCAGAATCGGTCGACCAAAAGTAAAACCAGCAATTTGCAGCGCTAAAACAGCATCAGGGGAACCGCTTGAACTGGTTGCGGAATTGGAGTGCAATATAACCCTCAACGGCATCATACGGGAGGGTAAGTGTTTCGTTGC